AAGAAATCTGCTTACTTTTTTTTCATGCTTAAATACGAGTAATGAATAATTAAAAGTTCAACACTGCAGCTAAGTTGCAATTAATTAAAAACATAAAATCAAACTTCGTACCATTTTTCAAATGCTTTTCATTTAAGTAAAGTGAGGGTGTCTGAATTGGCCTGGTTGGAACTAATTAAAGTCAATGCCTATGGGTAAATAATTAAATTCTCAATTAGGTTATGATTTTCATTTAGGCTAATCTTGGCCTTTTCCTTATGTGGTAGTTTGTAAATGTTACGGAGTACAAAGTACTATAATATTATGAAGCCGATGCGACAATATCTTTGAAATTAAATCTCATTTTAAGATTATTTGTCATGTATGACTCTCTGTCCGCCAAAATAAGAAGGTTGGCGTAAATAAATACAACAAACAACAAGAATTATTTTATCATCGACCATAACAATAATATATATTGACTATTAATTTTGTTCTGTTCTTTGGGTAGGTATTGCTTGAGTGTGCGTCATGTCACATATTTCTTTTGTTTCCCTTTATTCTTCTCATTATTCTACCGTTTCTCTACTCGAGATTTCAACTAAGAATAGCAAAGTAACAAAGTAAGGCTCATTTTGTCATCTATTCAGTTTAAATTTATTTTTGTTTGAATGTAACTTAGCTAAATTGAGAAAATAAGCCTAACATAACGAGCCTTGACATGCACTGTAAATTAATGAAGTTTCACGCACCTCAGGGCCTCTGCATTTCCTTAAAACCTCTAGGTTTTGACCAGTAAGATAAACTGCCAAAGAATTTTTCTTCCTCTTAATGATTTTCTGTGCTATTAAACCATGGTTGAATTATGCAAACCCTGGTTTAACTATAAATATATTTATATTAAAAGCATATTCACGTGATATTGCATTAATGTATAATTACCACCTTAAATTATAGTCACCTTTAAGTAAAATGTATTATGTGTCATTGTTAATGTAGTCACTTTAATACATATTATGTGTCACTTTTATGCAATATCGTCACATTAATCATTCTATATTTACTATAATGTTAATATAAGTTTGGTTAATGTTAATATGAGTTAGATTGTGGTGATATTTGTGAGGTAACTTTTAGCCAACCCAGCAGATGTCAACGATTATAATATGACTCCAACAGTAACAAAATTAGTGTTTAGAGGTTCTATTTCTAGCTTCTAGCTAATTTTATTGAACCACCCTCCCCCTAAAAAATTTTCCTAGCTGTTCTAATGTGTGAAAAGCAATTTAATTTCACACTAAAAATCAAATTGAATCAAAGCAATTAATTAGAAATTTTCTAATGTATAAAGCAATGTTGATGAATCCAAATTAAAGTGGCTTTTTAGTAGAAACATATTATCTTATTAAATTAACATTTAATAAAGAAAAACTTTTGTATAGTCTTTTATATTTATTGGATCGTCTATATAATAGCCAACGTTAAAATTCTAATAAAACAATAAGTCGTCGTTAGGTCACATGCTTTACAATTTGACTTGTATATTGTATTATTATTTCCTTCAAAAGCTAATTGTAATTTTCCAAGTCGATCCAAAAGTCAAGACTCTTTGGAAGAGCTTGGTCAAACTTAGTACTACGGAGTAGTTATGACCTCCTCTCTAATGGAGGAACTATTGATATCAACTTCATTGTATAATTACAATGATTAATTAAAAAAGAAGAAAATCCTTTTAATTAATAAAGAATGCACATTTTTAAAACTTGTTAAATTTTAAGTCTAGCCATGCTTCTAGTTATGTAATATGCTAGTATGGTATAGCTTTATGATTACGAGTATAGTATAATGATTAAACTTGAGGTTATGAGTCTCAATCTTGTACAATCTATATATTTAAACACATAAAATGAAAGATTCATTAAATGAGGCATCACTCGACATGTGAACATGTTGTTGAACATGTTGTTTACCTGTTAAACATATACAAAGTATAAAGTAGTATAGACACGTGTAATTTTTTTTTTTTTTTTGTGTGTTTTTTTTAGTTGAAATGTTTTTTTTTTTTTTTGGTTTTTTAAATAATATTTATATATTGCTCAACTACTCGTAGTAGTAGAGAAAAAAAGGCAGAATGATGATTAGAAGAACGAGCGAAAGGGTTTATATCAAATCAAAAGAATCAAATTAAAGAACGATGAGTCAAAGTACAAGAATGACTCATTATTAGAATCAAATTAAAAGAACGAGTGAAAGGGTTTAAATAATGCCAAAATTTTGCTATTCATATTCTTAATCGAAAAGAATTTAATTAGTTAATTAAGTCAAATTTGGTTGCTAATTTGCATATTAATGATAATTGAGTCAAATTGATTTGCTTATTAATTTGCTAATTTGATTTGATATTAATGAAAACAAGAACTACCATTAATAAGCAAATTAACAACTAAATTGGACACAATTATCATATCAAATTCTTTTCGATTAAGAATATAAATAGAAAACTTTTGGCATCAATTATAGATATCATAGGTTTCAAATAATATATTATAGATATCATAAAAAATTAAAAATCAATTATCAACCGTGATCAAAATTTTTACATTAATTATATATTTTTTGCAAATGTTTGCAACGAACTAGCAGAAATTCTAACCATAGTACTGAAAAATCATGTCAAGTACTATAAAATGTTATGCATTATTAAATCAAGCGTAATTTGCAACAAAATCGAGTGTAATTTGTATAAAAATCAACATAAAAACATCGATTAAAATTGAAAAGTTCTCTACTTGTTAAAGTATTACCTGATTTTGCAATAAGTGCGGATCCAGAAATTTTTATAGACCGGGCCGAAGTTATAAAACATTTCAAATAATAAAGCCATAAAGAGATATGAGTTTAAAAAGTCCACAAGGAAAAAAAAATAATTAAAAAAGAAATGTGCACACAAGGGGAAATTGAACCCTTGACCTTCCAATTCTATGCAACAAGTAACTAACCAACTAAGCCTACTATAAAACTTTAATATTTGTACAAGATTTTTATTTATATGATATCAAAATCTGGGCATTGGGGGCCCAAGGCCCGGATAGGCCCCCCTTGGATCCGCCTATGTTCCAATTAATTTGTGATAAGTCACGAGTTAAACGTTTGCATCATAATTTGAAGAACGGGAGTGGAAAAAATGCATCTTTGAGATAAAATTTGGGCAATTAGATATTGAAAATACTCGAATTTGCTATTAATTTGTGAATTCAAGTGAGGAGTTGAATGTTTGCATAATAATTTGAAGAACAGGAATGGAAAAAATGCATCTTTGAGATAAAATTTGGGCAATTATATATTGAAAATAATTGAAGGATTAGTGAGAGAAAGCATGCATGCATGCGCTAAGAGAAGAAGTTCTATTTTTGGGGGGGTGGTAGAGAAAGAAAGAAATTGCATTTATTTTCAAGGTTTAATCACAATGCTTTTAGTTATGGATTTTTGGTTGATTTTATGTAACATATGGCTTAAGGCCACGCTCATCGATCACTTGAATAAACAAATTAAAAGGACACATCATAATCTAAGGGACTACTCGTCCGATCCTATATTCACATAACTTTAAGATAGATACTCACTTGATCTTATAAAGTGGATTTGCTATCTTGATATGATGATGAGAGTGCAGCTCATGCATGCCCGAGAGTCTAACTTGATTAAGTCCTAAGGAAAAAGTTAAAATTAATTTTTTTAAATTCTCTTTGGTAGCCATCAAGTTTTGCTAATTATCTTTGGTGACCAAAAACTTTTTAAATTATCTAAATTAGTCATATAATACTATAACTTAATTAATTATAACACTAATGACCATTATTAGCTACTTTGAAGACTAATAAGTAACTATGGTTAACCCATGGTTAATTTTCAAATTTAAAAAAAAAAAAAAAAAAGTTACCTTTCATCACTTCCATAGTTTCACGTATTAACTTCAACTAAAAACATCACTTCCATTTACTCATTTTCACATAAACCATCCATCTCCACCATAATTCGAAATTCAACACCATCTTCTACCTTTCAATTCTTCAACCTTAGAACTAGGATTCGTGATTTCTGAAATTTTCCACCAAATCAAAAAGAAATTGGGGTTTTTTTTTCAACCATTGGAATTTACAAATTTCTAGGCTCTGATTGAATTTGACGGACAACGTGTGGGTTGTGGTTGAAATTTTAACATAAAGATCCGATCTTATTGCGTAAATATTCAGTTATGTACTCTAAGTTTTCAATTAAGTTCATTGCTATCGTGCTCTTGAATTTAATGTCCACTGTTTTGTGATAGCATGTCGTGTTTTTCAATTGGAATGTAGGGTTTTTATACCGTGTTTAATGAGTTTTTTCGTGAATTAAATATAGAATTAGGGGGTCATAATTCTAAAATTTGATATATATATATATATATATATATATATATATATATATATATATATATATATATATATATATAAGCCTATTGTGTTGTATTTGTTGACCAAATAGTGCTAAGGTTTCAATACAGGGGTACGGATACTGATGTGGTAGTAGAGGATATTGATAAGGTCAACCTCATTGACTTAATTATTGAATATTGGGAGTCAGTTAGAAAGAATGGGAAACCAACACCTTTGAACCATCAAGTTTTGCTAGTTACAACAAAGATTAAGACAACCCGCATAATCTTACCGTTATATAAAGAAGGGGAAATGATTTTGGAGGGAAAAAGATGGTTATAGTTTGGAGGGAAAGTAATATATAAGGGTGTAATAGTAATTATATTACTTAATTACACTTAAATTAATCATAGTTACTTATTAATTTTAAAAGAGGTTAATAATAATCATTAGTGTTATAATTAATTAAGTTTCAGTATTTCCCTTAAAATTATTTAAGAATTAAGATGCTTGCCCATGGTCCGTTAAGTTTCTTTTGGGCATAAATATAGCTTAATTCATTAGAAAATTCTAATACTCCCTACTACATAGTGGCCCACTTTTTTTTGAATGGACATAGTGCCCCACTTTCATATCCTTAAAGTCCCAACTCCAAAGAAATATTAAATAACACCAAGTCGTGCGAATTCTACGTAAAAAATTCACAAAACTACTCTACGTTCGTCCGTTGACCCGACCCGGTCAATACTCGTATGTCTCAAATCTTCTATAAATCATGCATTATTCTTTCTCCTTCTTATACTTCACTTTCATCATTTCCTATTCAACACTCCATTCATTTCCTCCACATTCTCAGATTAATCTCTTTGTCCCTCTCTAGTAATCTAGTCTATCCCCCTTGTTTTTCCACTCGTACGTGTTACTGAAAAAATGCAAGAAATTCAAGTAAGTCTTCTTCAAATACATGATTACACAATGTGATGTATTGATGTAAAGCTATCAGTATAGACAATATGTTCAGAATTAATTATCACGTATAATAAGTTAGTTGATTGTTTAATTATTGTTAATGTTGTATGGCTTTTGTGTTCATTTTTATTTGTACTTCAGAAGGTGGTATTGGCATTAGATGTACACGACGATAAGAAATGCAAGAAAAAGGTCTTGAAGGTTGTCTCTTCAGTTCATGGTATTGATACTTTGACTTTTTATATTACTTTATAGATTTACGGAGTATGTAGCAAAGCTTGCTAATTACATCATATGAAGGAGTGCATCTTACAAAAAAAAAAAAAAAACAGTTCACATGCATAACATGTAATATTTAGCTTTTTAAATTGTGCCATATAATTTAGTATCTTTCTGATAATATAATGATTATATTAATCCATACTAACAATTGAGAAAATATTTTGTTTTTAAATGTAATCTAATTACGATCTATTTTGGGATATATAAATAATTGTGGTAACTAACTTTTCTATTGCTTGTAGGAATTGATTCAATCTCATTGGACATGGAAAAGAGGAAGCTAACCCTAATAGGAAAAATGGATCCATTGGAAGTGGTGGGAAAATTAAGGAAGACGTATTATACGACCATAGACACAGTTGGACCTGCAAAAGAAGAAAAAGAAAAGGATCCTGAAATTATCCCTATCGTTTACGATCCATGTTATTACCCTAGGTGTTACTGTATTTACTAGCTATCATACTTGTGTGTTATTACATGTACTAGCTAGGGTATAATGAACGAAGTTATAGTTTATTTTGTTACTATATTACGAGTACGATAATAGGGTGTTTTTTTTTTTTTGTTTGTTTGTTTATGTTTATGTTTGTGGCCTTCAAATTTAAGAAAATATAGAGATATTGTGATACTCATATTATAATACTATAATAATAATATAATCGTTTTTATGATGATCGTGTTATCATTATTAGAGGATTTAGAGTTTATTAGTATTGAAGATGGTTGAATTTTTCTTAAAAAAAAAATTTATGTTTTTGGTTCGATTTTTCTATATAGTAACCCTCTAACTTTCACTTTTCTACGTTGTGCCCCTCCATTTAGAGCTTTCCACACTGTAACCGCAAAATACATTTAGTTTCTATATAGTAACCTTGTCGTTATCCCGTCATTAACAAATAGTGGGACCCACTCTCCACTTATTAATATTTTTCATCGATTTGCGTGTTGAAAATTGTTCTGTTAAAGGTTTGGGGGCTATTTTGGGTCTTAAGGGTCCAAATTGAGCTCAGGTGACTAAAAAATAACGTAAATGCCTCGTTTTGCGTATTAAAACGTAAATGCGCAAATCTAGACATTTCTTAATACGCCAAAAGAGGCGTTTATGTGTTATTTTTTCCCAAATTTGAGCTCAATTTGGATTCTTAAAGACCAAAATAGCCCCCAAAACCTTTAACGGAACAATTTCAACATGCAAATTGATAAAAAAAATAATAATAAATGAAAAGTGGGCCCCACTAACGGAATTTGTGAACGGCAAGGTTACCATACAGAAACTAAATGTATTTTGGGGTTACAGTGTGCAAAGTTCTAAATGAAGGGGCACAAAGTGAAAAAGTGAAAGTTAGAGGGTTACTATGTAGAAAAATGATTCTTATGATCAAGGGGCAAGACGCATACGTAGGAATTACTGAGCTAGGTGATTAGGGGATTTTTATCCACCAAGCGCCGTTTGACAAGTGGACCAACCAGGTTCCGCCACGCGTCCTCCACGGACCACTTAAGACACGCCACGTGTCCACCCATGCCAAATGGGACAACCGGCCATCAAGGCCCATTTCAGTCTAGAAGCCCGATCGGCCCTAGGTTTACCTTAAACCTAGAGAGTTGCACGCTTCCCAAGGCTATAAATACTCGATTAATCCTCATTAATCAGGGGACCGAATACATTACGGAACACACTAATAACCGGCTGATCTCGCTAGCAAAGCAGATTACCTACATTAAATACTCTCACCTAGAGAGACCTTATTACTTTGATTTCTGTATTAATTACTCCTTAATCAGGTACTAACTTGACCGTTGGAGGCGGAGCTCTCAGGAGTCTCCGTTATTTTGCAGGTACAGGCGTCCGGTTCCAGTCTCGGAATTGTAACTCTCCCGCAGGACATCAGAAAACCCCGAAACATTTGGCGCCGTCTGTGGGGAGAGTACTTCAGAGATGGCATCCAAGTCTGTACCGACCCCAGAAGAGAGGCGTCCCCTAGACGACCCTCAAGTTCAGTCGGACCATGATACCGAAAGTGAATTTGAAGTTGAAACTCATACAGCTCCAGACGGGACCCTAAGGGCCCGCCGTACCCGTCATACTGAAATAAGGGAACGGGAGTATCTTCAAACAGGAAGCGAGCCAGCAGGCGCACCGCTTGCTCGGCAACAGCCGACTGATGGGTCTGCTCCCATCACAAGGAACGAACTCATGACCTTCATGAGGGGATTCAAGGGAGAGATCCAAGAGTTGATCAACAAAAAACCGCCTGCTTCAGTCAAAGAGCAGGCGGCCAAAAAACCTTCCACTTCACTGAAGAGGAAGCCAGTTCAAGGGCGAGAGGCGACTCCCCATCCTAAATCTAAGAAGCGGGAGCCGTCTGCTCTTGATTTCACAAAACTCCGTTATCCTACGGGAAATAGGAAACCGGTTCGTCATATTCAGGCGGACGGGTCAAGGCAAACGTTCACAGATGCTCGGCACCTGCTAGAGCAGAAGAAGAGTGACCGATTATCAGAGTCGGCTTCTACTTCAAATTTTCAGGACAGTTTGCGAAATGCCTCGATGAGGCCAACTCAGTCGTACCATGAGAGTCAGTCAGGCGGCACCTCCCGTCAGTCTGGCTTTCATAGTGCGCAGGCGGTACCAAATTTGCCATTTGTGCCGCAACAACAATATTTTATGCAGCCACCTCCATTTGGTGGACCTGCAGCAAAAAACGTCCAACCTATGGACTGGCAGCTACGGCTGCTTAGACTTGGTGAACAGCCGTCGGCCTTCTCCAAGGAAATTACTGAAGCCGCTCAGCCAGCCAAAGTAAAAAATGTTTTAGTAGGCGCCTATGATGGCACTACTAACCCGGAAGACCATCTGATGGCATTCACCAACCTGATGTACCTTCAAGGGTTGGATGATCCCACTTGGTGCAAGTGTTTCCCAGCAACTCTCAAGGGAATTGCACAGCAATGGTTCGGCAACCTGCCGACTGGTTGTGTAAACAGTTTCAGGACGCTTGCTTACTTATTTGCCTCCAACTTTGCAATGAACATTCCTGCGAAGAAAACGACCCTTGATTTGGGAACAATTCAGCAGGGTGAAAAGGAGGGGCTTCGTTCCTACATCAGGCGGTTCAACCTGATGAGAATACAGATTCAAGGGTTACCGGATGAGGTAGCTTATACTGACTTTTTTAGAGGTCTCAAAGACGGGTCTACCTTCAAATTTGATTTAGTTCGAAAAAGGGTGGCGACTCTTCAAGAGGCCTTGATTGAAGCAGAAGCCTATATACAGGCGACTGATCTGTGTACAATGAAACAGTCGGACGGGAAGAGGTTCGACAATAGAGAAGGACGACAGAAACAGTCGTCCAACAAAGATGAAAAAAGAAAAGGGGTCTGGGCGGCTGATTCCTCTAAACAGCCGGCCAAGAAGAAAAAGGAATTCAAACCATACTCCCCAAAGTATGTGTTTAACAAGGATAACCAGTTTATCCTAAAAGAAATAAAGGGACGGCTCTCAATTGAGAAACCGCTCCCCATGAAGGGTTCTGCGAGCAACCGGAACCAAGACAAAATCTGTGCTTATCATGATGACATTGGTCATCACACCAACGACTGCATTAGTCTCATGCGGTACCTAGACCGCTTGGCTGATCAAGGTGATCTTGACACTTATGTCGAGAAATCTACGGGGAATACTTCCTCAAAAAAGCAGTCGGCCAAAAAGAATCAACAGGCCGACAGTTCCGATACAGATGATGCAGTCGTCTACACCATTGCAGGCGGCTTCTCAGGAGGCGGCCCCACTATTAGGGGCAACAAAGATAATATAAGGCGGTTAGATGTAAATTCCGTTCACCAAGAACGACCGTCCAAATATACATTTCCTGAGATTGTCATCACTGAAGAGGATCTAGGAGGAATAAGGGGGCCGCATGACGACCCTCTCGTTATTGAATGTAAAGTGGCCAACCAGAGAGTTGGTCGAATCCTCATAGATACTGGGAGCTCTTCAGATCTCATCAGCAGCAAATGTCTGTCAAAACTGAAATATCAGACGGACTGCATACATCCGGCCTCCCACCCTTTAATAGGGTTTGGAGGAGGAGTCGTCCACCCACTGGGACGAGTTGATCTACCCGTCCGCCTGGGCGAAAAAGGGGAAGGACGACACATGGTAGTCCGATTCCTAGTTGTAGAGGAACTCTCTGCCTACAACATGATTCTGGGTCGCCCAACCCTGAATAGTGCCAAGGCTGTTATAATCCCGTCACTTATGCTGCTTAAGTTTGAAAGGGACAATGGAACAGTCGGCTCCCTAAGGGGAGATCAGAGGATGGCCCGAGAGTGCTATCTCTCGGATGTCAAACCCACTGCTAAGGCCACTGGGTCAAGTGGAGAAAAAACAGACCTTGACAATGTCAAGGAAAGTGCGCCTGTTCAAGAAACAGGCGACAGAAAAAGAAAGGCGTCCCAGACAGAGTCCGCCAGAAAGGCAAGGAAAATAGACGCCTGTTCTGATTCACAACTGATAGTCAGTACAATGGCGAATACGAAGCAACACATCCGGCCATGATCAAATATTTACAGGCGGTCCGACAAGCAGTCGGCTCCCTTGAGAATTTCCATCTGATCCAAGTACCGAGATCAGAAAACAACCAGGCAGATGCACTCTCGAAATTAGCATCATCCGCCTCCTCCGATACTCCTCGAACTGTGTTTTGGGAAGTAATGGAGAAGAGAAGCATCGAGGAAAATCCTATTGGAATTCTAGACAGAAGCTCAACCTGGATGGATTCAATCAGGGCATATCTGACAAACGGTACACTGCCGGATGATCCTCAACAGGCGGCATCACTGAAAAAACGAGCCTCCTGTTTTGAAATGATACAGGGGGAACTGCACAAGAGGGGGCACCTTCAACCCTTCTTAAAGTGTGTTACTCCTGAAAAGGGACGAGAGATACTAGATGATCTTCACTCTGGTTTCTGTGCTTCCCATATAGGTGGTAGGATGCTTGCTCAAAGGGCAAGGCGGCAGGGCTACTTTTGGCCTACTTTGGAAGCAGATGCAATGGAGATGGTGAAAAAATGTGACAAGTGCCAAAGGTTTGGCAAATTAATTCACCGTCCGGCTACTGACCTCACTACTATTCACAGCCCACTACCGTTTGCTAAGTGGGGCATGGACATTCTGGGTCCATATACGCCTGCTACAGGCGGCAGAAGGTATATACTTGTTGCCGTTGACTACTTCACTAAATGGGTAGAGGCGGAGGCTGTAAAGGGAATCAAGACGAAAGATGTAATTTCATTCATTTGGAAAAACGTCATCACTCGGTTCGGGGTTCCCATGTCTATGGTTTTTTGATAATGGTCCCCAATTTGAGACGCCTGTTCTCAAAAGCTGGTTGGGAGACCAAGGAATTGGACATTACTTTGCATCTGTCGGCCGTCCACAAGCAAACGGCCAGGTAGAAGCCTTTAATAAAATCATCTCAGACGGTCTCAAGAAAAAAGTTGAACGAGCAGGCGGCCTATGGGCAGATGAACTACCACATGTTCTTTGGGCCATTAGGACGACTGAAAAAGGGGCGACTGGAGAAACTCCATTCCTCCTAACTTATGGTGCAGAAGCTGTTCTTCCAATAGAACACTACGAGCCGACTCTTCGAGTAATGCTATATGACGAAGAGGCAAACTGGGAAGCTATGCGCCTGGCATTAGACTCACTTCCTGAAAAGAGGGGCAATGCTGTTTTGCGCCATGAAATCTACCGCCTGAGAATGACTAGATCATACAACA